CTGTGGGCAGTCGGCAGAAGAAACAATGTGATACATTTACCATAGACGTATAAAACATGATTGTGTAAAGACAGTATGGTTCCCCAGAACCATGGTTACTAATGGGCGTGCCCATGATGATTGATGAGACAAGCGTTGACAGGGTCACGTGAGGGGGAGCACGGGATCCAATGGCGGGGAAGTGTAATAAGGGCGGAGATTGACAGAGCCAGGTGAGGCGAGGAGAATTCGAGAAAAGGGGCGTGGCCAGATCGGGCGAGGTATATAAGCGGGCGCGAACCGGACCTGGCGGCTGTTGGCGTGGGGAGTCGCCGGGTCGTCTCAATTGTCTTCGAGATGTCTTGAGACGAGAAGCTATGTTGTCTAATAGAGTCGTCTAACTACCCAAGTGTATAGAGTCACTCGTGGTTACTCGTTGAGTTGTCAGTGGACTTTATTCATAATAAGGCTTCAAATCAAGTTTTATTCATAATAAATATACAGAAAGATAAGACGGTTGTCTCTGAGAGCTACATTACAATTGTATTAATTTAGTACGTTGGCTTTTGCAGCCACTCATAATTCATGCGTGGTTCTGTCAGGTGTTGAGCATCACTTCTCTCAAGCTTTCGCCATGCACTACCGATGGCATCTTCAACTTCGGCATCATCTGTCGTTTCTCTGCAGGTGTTAAAGAAACACCCCCAGCACCTGGAGGAAAACTTCGGACAACGTGCCGAATAACAAGCGGTGCAACTCAAAAAAATCGGAAAGCTACACAACACATTCGCGAAAAAACACACAGTAGCATGCTTCTACCAAACTCTTTAACACTAATATGGATTCTCATAATAAATTAATCTTTTCCACTATGAATATCAATGCAGTATCAAAAGCAAAGACATTTAATTTGAACATGAAATGATGCTGCAGAACCCAGCCTGACATCCACTATCATTAAATGCCCAAAAAAACCCACAAAGAAACCCAGTGTTACATCGACACACATTACCTTTGAATTGGGTTTGAGAATTACATTACATGTCAATGCACTGTCAATCAACGAGTACAAGTAGTAAATGTTATATCTGGTGAGCAACATTTATTAAGCATTAGAAAACACACTATACACATACCAACAGTATATATGTCGAGAAATGCGATGTGGTGTTGTAAGCCAAGCCTGGAAGGCATTCACATTTGCAAACCCATAATTACAAGCTCACAGTGTTAACGCTGTACTCATTTCGAAACTGCATCAATAGACAGTACTTGCAAGCAGGCATTTAGCCACAGTAACGGCTTTGCAGTTCTGTATCTGAGCAAAAACAGTCAAAGCATATACTTTGCAGAGGCAATACACACCTTCACCATCATTTAAACTGCTATTTTGTGATACAGCCATGGCATATTTAAAAAAAAATTGTAAATATGTGAATACATATTATCTTGCGTGTTCCTGATTTACTGGGCGACCCACAACTACCAATACTCCAGGATGTCATATCTGCGCCGCCAACCTGGCTGAGGTTCCACAAATCTTTTTGGACTCATGCGGAGAGAAGGGCGCCAGCGATCGGTGGCGTGAAAGCTGGATGACCTGCAACCTTCCAAACAAATATCATCAAAGATCTGACGCAGGAGTTATTACCTGGCTTCAGCCTGTATATAAGACAATGGGATGCACTTAATCGTGTTCGAATGTGCGGTTATTTCCTTCGCATATAGAACATGAAAGTCATCCTATTGTGAATGTGATGAAGTGCAATCTGTTCATCAAATAGCCGACCACTGCTCAGGATACTCTTGCACAAGCAACACGAATGCTACCAACTCCTGATGCCATCCAATGGACTACCAAATTTAACAGTTATGACATTTTGTTAGTTGTGTCATAACTGACAGACCGTGTAAATCTTGCCAACAGATTTAATTTCAACTGGAGCGAAAACCACAGCCTTAGAAATTCCACCAGTGTCGTCCAACGAAAGAAATCGTGATCAAGGGCACATTCATTCTCTTGCACACTGTGGAGAGAAAAAGGAACGCGACTTCACTGGCAATACATGATGGGGGAGCACGCATGCCAATGCAACAAGTTGCTGGCAAGTTTATCAAGGGACAAAAAACATTTACACTTGGAAGTGTATTCTAAACAAATTCTCAGTTCATCAAAAAAAGTAAGCAATACAGTTTAGAACTGCTTTCATATAATACAGGGTGCTTAAAAAAATATTAACACTTATATGGGTCTATCGTCTTTAATGGAAAGCTAACGAATATTACAATGTAACATGATAACAAAGTCTCCACTTGTTCGCCATCATTGTCAACACATTCCTGGAATCTTCTCCAGGTGGTCTCTAGAGCCTGGAGGCACATTTCTTGTGGTGTTGTTGCAAATTCTCAGAAATGTTAATATGTTTTTGATGCACCCTGTATATACACTTAGTTGTGAACAATTGTTAGAAAAAGAAAGCAAGTTTGGGTCAGCCTTGGCAGTAACAAAACTAGCTCAATAACATAATTTATCTTTATGTCCTCCAAACCCTGAGGTTTGGTGAGAAATGAGCTACCCCAAAGTAACAATATTTGGGTGAGGCTTATTTCCTACGAGACCAGAATTGGGTGGTGCATTCTTTTAGGTTATTTAAACAAGATGGTTAGATCTGATTAAGTCGGTTCAGAATGACACGGAACCAATCAGAATGATTGTCCCCGTGTTAAGGAAGCTATACTACAATACCATTTAATTATGCTGATGTATTTTTCACCAAGACACAGCCTGTTGGTGATTTATCTAACCTAAAAAGTAACGTGAAAATATGTAAATATTCATCAACCTACCTATTTTGCAGCCTTACATACCGATGTATCTAAACACATTCCTGCGGAGGGAGCTGGTAGGAACGTTGGTGTATTCCGCAAATATACCCGACTGCGAAGGCGGGCACAAGCCGGCGTGAGTAGGTTAAACGTTGAGTTTTATAAGGGCACCACGGGGTGAGCAGCCCCTCCCTACCCAGCCCCACCTCTCCCACCCCCCACCCAGCCCCACCCTCCCCACCCTGCCCCTCCCCACCCAGCCCCACCCTCCCCACCCAGCCCCACCCAGCCCCTCCCCACCCCTCCCATTTTTGGAAGCAAGACGGACAGACGGACACAATAATCCCCTGTGGGCTGGTGGAACCAAGTAGTTCCTACCAGTATTAACCTTAGAACTGCCTTTTGTCTTTAGTTTTGACATTCCGTGCACCTCCGATTAGCATGATTGGCTACGTATTGTGCAAAAGAAGCTCAACATACATAACTGTTCTCAAATGTTTTTAAGATGTGCCTCGAAAAGCTAAGTTTTGCTGCAGGCAATCAAGACCATAATCCACATTTCATGTGGCAGAATGCTACTGTCGTGTAAAAAAATAACTATACGTTATTTACAACAGAAAACAAATGTGACTTATAAGTCACATGAATAAAAGTTGAATCCAAGTTCATAAAATGCAACTTTTAAATTACTTTTATAAGACACAATTGGCAATGTTGGTGAATACCTAACATAACGATTCATCTAGCGCCTTGAGAACGATTGTTTAAGGGCGCTTTATACATTTCAATGATTATTAATCGTGTTCAGTATGGTTATTTGTGTTTACGAACCACTATTCTTGAATATATGTTGATGGGAAACCAGTATTTCAAACCTCACTCTCCAATGTTCGGACATGTGCTGAGGCAAGGTATGGTTTCAAGGGTTAGTGGAAAGGATGGAGGGTGTGGCTGTGGCACACCTGTAGATAGTCTGTGCATTTATTCAGTGATGGGACTGGGAAAAAAGGTCAAAAACTGGACATTTGACCAGGCCTCAATTGCAGTATGGGTTGTGTGTGCTCTTGGGAGTTCAAAATAAGCTACAGCCAAGATGCACATTGAGATGTACAATGCCTTGTTTCTTATAATGGGATATTGCAATGCAATTTCAGTATTTAAGTCTAAATACTAGGAAAGGTGGCTCATCTGGCACACGTGAGATCACACATGCACATGTGCATGACACGTTTAGGCCTACAATATGGCAAGTACATGGCAGTACAGTAAGCATGTTTTATGATCTTTCTGTATAATTTGTTTTTGGATAGATTTTTTCATTTAGGTTAAACATACGCTTCATTAGGTATAGCATCATTAAGATGTTTACCAGTGAACACTCCACACATGGAATGTGTATTTACAGCAGCCTGCCATGAAGGGAAAGCATTCATTTGCTACATCCAGACTTGTACGTGTGCAGCAGGTCTGTGGGGTTGGATGACGAAATTGCAAGTGTCTCTCGAATGCCGCGTGACATGCGTTCGTAAAAAAAGTGCTTAAGTGGAATCGTGCTGTATGAAGCCTATTTTCTAATAGACATGCATGTTATAAGGGCGGGGGGCTACCTAATACAAATTGGGTATACTTTCATTATTTTAGCCCTGGATTGACAAAATACGTATAAATGTAAAACTTAATAATGTTATCATCACAAAAAAAACGAATAAACTAAGATTTCAATGACAATTTTTTTGTCAAGATTAAAAAGATTACTACTTACAAAGATTACCTAATGAGGTGTAACTGCAGGGCTTCGTAAACGCTTTCGTCGGCTGCTTGCGGTAGCACGCATGATGCACACAATGGCAAATCTAGGGTGGCTACAGCCAACCCATGACACTGGACGCTGCCACAGCACGGTGACGCCATCAGAAATGTTTTTACTTATCATTTTTATCATTGACATTTTTTTCTTGACAGCGTAAATGTGAACCGCATAGCATGAAGTATGTCCCCAAAAGATGAATCGCTCAACTGCGAATTGCCCCAATGGTTATTGGGCATTACACGAGGGACGCCCGATTTGTCCTTATCCAGCAAACCTCATGAAAGTGCGGCACACAGAGGTGAATCCTGGGATCTTGAAGAAATGTCGTGTTTAAAAACAAGCCTCTGGGTGCAAAATCTATTGAACAAAACAATTACCAATGATGTCAAGTTACTTTGAGGATTGATTTATTTGTTAAGAGGCAACTTTATGCAGTTTGCGAAGACTCAGGTTTGTACAGTATACATTTCTGGCTACCAAGCTAACATGCTGTATAGTTTCGGAAGTATAATCTCATATAAAAACTGATGAGTTTTACCTGAAATCAGGGATATTTAATTATTTAATAACAAAAGAGTAATCAATACGATAAACTACAAAGCAATGACTAATTGTGGCAACTGAATTACAACTCTGAGCTATTTAAGCATGTGAAAATATATTTTAATATGTAATACAAATGTTTGAATAACGAAGGGCAGGCCTTTTTGAGCAAATAATTCAACTTATACATAAATTTATTTCCATTTGTTGTACTTGTCCAACAGAGGGGACATCCCAAAGTGGAACATAATTATTGTATTATTGATCCAAACTTCACAAAACTGAAAATAATACATGTGATTGCTAATCGACAACAAGCCTCAAGCATATAAGAAGCTAGCTTGAACCTATATTCACAGCTCAGCATAAGGCCCAGTGTATAATCAGTGAAAGTGCGTGGAGGGTGTACGATTATTGTGAACATAAATGTTAGTTGAAGCGTTGTCCGAGTGGCCCAGCAGCTGATGACCATTTCAGAGCAGTGCGCCAACACTGCTGTTAATTCTGTTTGAATCCTGATATAAAACAAGGTCATCAAGTAAACCAAACTGGGGGTCTTAGCCTGGTTAAAAAACAACAACTACGTGAAACACGTCATGTAATTTTTTCCCACAACATTGTCAGGTTATCGGAATGTGTGCTTTTTTGCCTCCTGCCTCAGGTCCAATTGTGTGATAATGTTAAAACTGCTGAAGAAATCCCAAAATCTTCTTGGTTCTTTCGGTAAAGCAACAGCGTCTGTCGCCTCGACAGACCTGGTTTTCACCTGAGGACGGCTGCTTGCGTTGTGGCCGAAACGTCGTGAGAATTGTTTTATTATGTTTTATTTTTATTATTTTATTACTTCCCTTCTACGTGGCTTTACCGAAAGAACCAAGAAGATGAATCCCTGCAGTCACGAAAGCTTTAAATCGAAATCCCAAAATGTTAAAGATTGAGTTGGGTCCATAGCATAGATATCTGCAAAGACAAATGCAAACTGCATGTGCAAAGCAGGCCATACGACTAACAAAAACACGTTTTAAAAAATGTATAGAACACATTGTGGAGAAGTAAGCTCGTTTTTCTCCATTGTTATATATTACAATTTTTTAAGTTCCCTTTATGGATTTAATACAAAAACATAAAAATCTAATTTATCAAGAGCCTTTAAGACTTAGAGAGACCCTTCTTGGTAAATACAGATTTTCAAAGTATGTTCTTTTTACTCATCTTGACCATCTCCATAATGAAGACTCGCAGAGAAAATAGCTTGCAACAAAAAGTCAGCAAAATGGATAAACAAATAGGGTAACAATCCGACAGAGGGGTTATACATTGAATATGCAGAGCACCTTCAATAGTGGCATCTGTACATTATTCCCAATCTCATTCAGTTTGATCCTCCAATTCAGGCATATAAAATGTAGTATGTTTCTTACGATCTTATCTATATGAATTGCAAAACTGTCAATCACCCATATGAATCCAGTCCACAAAACGAATTGTGTTTAGGTCATAGAGTGAATATGTATTTTTTTTTATTTGCATGTTATTCATTTTCTGACACTTTTCAAAGTTAGCTTGAATTGCTTTCTGTTGGAGGAGGAAAATGGTGAGGAATGGGGCTGAATGTTGTAAAAATGTTTTATGTGAAAATGTTTGTTACACATTTATTTCTTACACAAGTGTGCTATGGTTTGCACATTGACATACATGTGTCTGTATTGATGGCCATTGAAAACTTCACTTTTACCTATATTAAAAGCACTAAAACAAAAGCTAAATTACAGAAAAATAACAAGAAAAACAATTAACTTCAAGTCACCTCTAAAGGTGGCCTAGTGTTACAGGCAGGCAAGCAGATCATACAGGTAGGAGACCCACATCAATGAGAATATGATGCTAAAACCATACCCAAGTAAGCCAAGTGGATGAAAAGCCCAGCTGAGTCAGGCAATCAGTCTTGCTTCCCAAGAGAGTGAGGTGGTCGGGTCAAAGACCCCAGGCGAGATGGTCAATACAGTAGGTGGACAAGCCTTGAGTGAGTGAGCAGGTAAAAAAATGAGCCAATGTGTCGAGTTGAAACGCTGTGGCCCATGCGGTGTGATGAGACCTTGATGTGCACCTCGCAGTGTAAATTCTGTGCAATTTGGCACTTTTGGTGCAAAGCACTTTGAGCCAAAAATGGAGGATAAAGTTGCCTACATATGTTCACATTCGTGCAAGGAGCAGTGATTAAGGAAACAGAAGTATACTTCCACCCAAAAAAATGACATTTAAGATGAAGACATGTTGAAAGTTACTTCGAAGGTATTTAACAAAAGAGGTACATCAATTCTTGACAACATATGAGTGTTTCATGTGATGACTGTGGCAGAAGCAAGTGTATATGTGCAATGGGTGGAGCAGTGGTGTAGTAGATGGCGCACTGCGCTCAGAACTCAGCAACCTGAGTTCAATTCCCGATCATGGCTAAACAGTGGCAAGTGATATCTGAAAAGCTCTTGGGTCTCTCCCCAAGGTCGACTCAGCCTTAAATGAGTACCTGATGCAGCGTGTCAACATGGGCAAGAGAGACAAAGATGGCTGGCCTTGAGCGATGGCCACGCCACCCCTTTGCATGCTGTACCGACTGTAATAGGTGCTCACTTAAAGCACTTTCCACAAACAGTGTAAGCGGGCCACAAGGTGGACCTTTGTGTTTGTCTTTTTCATGAGGTGAGACATGGTCACATCTTGGGGATGCTAATGCAGGCAAAAGCACCTCACAGCAGAGTGCATCGCTCCTGGATTCTCTTGGCAAGACTCTTCTTTTTCTTTTTCTTCCCATTGTCCTTGTTGTCTTCCATTTTCCTTGTCCGGATTTCACGCATCAGATCAAAGAACACCTGAAGTGAAGATAAACAGGCATAAAATATTTGAGCGAGATGCTGTGATCTTGAAACGAGTGATGCAGTCTCGCCTAAAACTGACCAATCCAGTTTAAACGGGCTTGGTCAGTGAGCACGGTAGTTATTAATGGTAAGCCAGCTAATCGTGTAAGAACCTCGTAAAGTCCAGATAATTGAGTAAGAACTTCGTGAAGATACATATATAGAATTGCACGATTCCTCTCAATGAACAGGCATTGAATTGTGCATGTGAGAATCGATTGTTTACAATTCACGAAAATCATTTGCTCCAGTTCCATATTTGCTCATGGAGTAAGTAAAACTCTATAAACAAGACAAAAAAAAGAAACAATACAAATGAGATAGTGAAAATGAGACGAAAACATGTATTTGGACTTGTGTCCCTAAATAATACAATCAATCTCGTGCTGGAGGATTAATTATACCTGCGTTGTAAGCTGCACAGATGATTAGGGCATTGTTTCATGCTAAGACGCAGCAAAGCACACTGAACTACCATCGAGTGGTACATTGCAGCAATAGTACACTCATCTCTATCCATTTCATAAATTGGGAGTGAATCTCAAAATAGATAACTTCAGCAATTGCAATGCCTGGAAATTGGTTTTTACATTAGACATGAAATTGGATAAATTTGGCAACACCTTGGGAAAGGAAATTCCTTTTAATTATTGTTTCCCCATTTAAATCAATACACAAAGATGCAAAACTGAATTGTATATTAATGGACGAGTCAGGCAATATACGCAATACTTTTTTTTAAGTAATACATAGTATCAGGACAATATCAATAAATATCACATCAATATATGATGATCTGGTACCAGGGTTGCCTGTATTACCTAAATTTAAGTAAACGGATTAATATGTATTCGTCAGTAACCAATTTATTTCTGTTACAGTCGACAATTTCTATCCAGAGACAGCTTTCTTGCTAGTCTCACCAAGTCGTAACACAAGTACCCAAGTCACCTTGTCGACGTTAGCGCGAGTTTTGGCGGACGTCTCCACGTAGCCAACGCCCCACTGGTCTGCGCGTGCCCGCGCCTCCTCTATGGACACCTGCCGCCGCTCCTCCAGGTCTGACTTGTTCCCCACGAGCAGGAAGGGGATGCTGTCATCTTCCTTCACACGCAGGATCTGTTCGCTGCGCCCGCAAGCACGTAAAATCGGGCATTTGAGCTCTATACGAAGGTTGATCCTTGGCAGTGTTGACACGATAGGTGGTACGTGTACAAGTTTATAATAATGCAGTTATTCATATATCGATAGAAAGCCTCACTGTGTTCTAGTACTCGCTCTTAGGAGAGTCTTGCACTGGGATGTCTGGGAAATTACTTTTTTAAGGAGTGGGTTTTGAGATTAACACTAAGATAATTTCTCCAAACTGGCCCCACCATAGGAATGTGGAATATCCTCCACTGGCTCAGGACCACCACTGAAAATGAGCATCATCCCATGCTCATTGGAGCAGAGAGACAATGGTAGCTATTTAGTATTTCTTTAAAAACACTTCCCGTACGCCATTTCCAAAGTGAACTGCTGTCTTGTGGATTTGCCTGATAGTGTGTTCAAAGAGGCGTTAAACTTTGGAAATTACAACAGCGGTTGTTTTTCAGATTTGAAACTGGTCTTGAGAATCCCTTTTCACCAACCCCCGTGTGTGTTTGTATGACCACTTCAAGTTACCCAAATCACAACAGACCATGTGCAGCATTTGCATTGAATAACCTAATCAGCAAAATAAATGCACCTTGTCAAAGAGCCTAAGGAGCAATAGGAGACATTTCAATCCATGCTGCCTGGCTGCCTTGTTTTATTTACTAAATCGTGTGCCAACCTGCATAGAGTACACTGTTCAGCTCACACCTACATATTTTTGGCACTCAAACAGCTTTGCAGGGGTTGAAATAAATAACTGTGTGTTTCACAAGTATCTATTTGTAGTTTGAGACATCCATATCACCAACACCATCTGCGGATTACCAACTCCAACAAAAATGTGCCAACGCCTATGGATTTCAACACACTGGCTCATGTTAATACCATAGGTGGTGTTATAGATGAGATACATTTATCCATTATTAAAATATCACTGTAGTAATGTGTGGTGGAGCATGTAATCCAGCAACTCTGAAGCAGGGTTGGTATACTGTGCTAAAATCATAGTGCACAAGACTTTCATCTGCTGGAGCAACGGGGTGACCAAGATCCAGTACAGCAAGTAGGCTGCTGATCAATATGTGGACTTAGAGTTCCATCCTCATATTTGGGGGATTTGTTTTTCCAGACACTCCAGTCAACTTATGTAATAAAGCTCACAAATACATTGGCCAAATATCGTAAGAAAAACTTCATAAACGTCTTGAAATGTTTATTTCTTGGCTAAAAATAAATATTTTATTATGAAATAAATAATTTCCCACAACTATGCTACACTTGATACGAGCTTTTTAATCTCCAGAAAATGAAATCGACAGTCGGACTCTTTGAGCTTCAGAGAATAACAATGAACTCTAAGAATCCTATAGGTACCTTAGTTTGGCTCATGGTAAACTTTTGCATGGTTTGAGCATGTACATGTGCTTGGCGTTACACTGTCATTCCATGCATAGCCTGATCTTTAGCAGCTTCGTGTATGGGTCTGGGTAAGGAACATGCCTTAACCTGTCTCCATGAGGCCATATAGGCAACATGGGTCCACACTCGTTTCCTGTTCAAACATCAGGTCAGAATCATGGTCAAATTGGTCCAATTCTGCGAATAATGCATTGACATTGCATTTCAATAGCAACAAGGAAGCATATCAGAAAGAATCGCCGTTCTGGCAGGCAGGAATTTGCGATACTTAGCTAAAATAAGCAGTCGTTTGCTAAGCTAAATACACAATAGAATCATAGCAAAATCTCTCTCTTGCACACATCTTCCATGGTAAAATCCCTGTTAGAATCCCATTAAAATGTCCATTTGCACATGGGAATAACCCAAAGAAGAATCTGGATTCCTACAGGCACTATCCAGGGTGTAATGCTGGTAATCGAATATGATTCTTGCAGCAATTTCCCAGCCCTAGTACAGATAAGGCAGTTGTAGGCAGTGTTAACATTGCCCTCCTTCAACATAAACAATCAATGACTGTCAAGCAACAGTTACGAGGGACAATTCTTGGCTTGAAAGCCTCAGTGTAGATCTGTGAGAAATGAATAGCATCGGTACCAGTCGAGTTTGCTCCCTCCCTATTATACGAAGACATTCGGTGTCATTGTTGTCTCAACGAATCGCCATGCCTACCATGCCCTTACACAACATCTATGTGAAATAGTATCAACGTATCTTGGTGTTGCTCAGGAAACTGTTTGTGTGGCAATCATGCACAAGGGGTGACAGCACGTACAATCTAATCGCAGTTACAGCTTACAGTGAGTACAATGTGTAAACTTGTTATATAAAACACAGTACAGTATTGACCATGCTCACTCCTGATGCTGAAGGAAATAGATCCACATATTGTCTGCAATTAAAGTTTAAAATAGGAAATAGATATCGTTTGTCAATGAAAGTCGGCATTTACCCACTTTAATTTGCATCTGCATCAAACTCCGTACGAGGTAAATTACTTGGTTCACTGATGAAGGGATCATATATTTATACAGTACTTATGTTGAACTTCTTTCGCAACGTACGTAGCCAACTGTGCTAATCGGAGGTGCGATTGTTTTGTACATGACTTAAACCAATTCCGAACTTGAGGCTAAACCTGATCTGTGAGTGAAATTAAGAAAGTTCTGGAGTGCCATTTTGGAGGCCTAAAATTCTAGAACTTAGTGTTCAGATTATTTGGGTCTTTCGGTAAAGTCATATAGATAGGTTCAAATTAATACAAATAAACCAAAAACTACGACGTTTCGATCACAACACAAGCTACGTGACTTTACCGACTTTACTGAAAGACCCAAAGAATATGAATTCCTGCAGTCACGAAAGCTTTAAGTCAAGATTTAGTGTTCAGATGTTTCTAGGTTTAGGCACAGACTCAACCATGTGTGATACAAATGTAGCTTCATAGCCCTTCTAGAACATCAATATAACAAATCTTAGACACAGACATCATCTTAATATATATTACGTTATGACTGGATAAAAAAAAATAAAGTATACTCTTTGAACAGGCAAGTACATTTTGCTTGAAAAGTTGCTTATATAAAAAACACCCAATGCTCAGTCATTAAAACATGGAAAAGAGGTGTGGGGGTTGGGTAGGGGCTTTAATTTGGGCTACCCACCGGAGATCAGCGGTGCCAGCAAACGACTCGTGCTCACAGATGGAGAAGGCGCACAGGAAGCCCTCGCCGCTGCGGAAGTAGTTGTCTCGGATCGCGGCGTAATCCTCCTGCCCAGCCGTGTCCAGGATGTCGATCTGCACCTCCTCGCCATCCAGCACCACCTTCTTGCGGTAGCTGTCGGCCTTGGTGGGTTCGTAATCCTCCACAAACTGCACACCTCGCACACGTGAGTGTTTTCGTGCCGGCAAGTCTAGGTTCCAGCACAGCATAAAGCAAGATAATACGTTGCTCTTCTCCGTTTTCCTCTGCCTTTCGATGCTAATTCTTGCCCATGCTGTCGTAAGTTTCTTCGCTCCTTTTGCTGTACTATGAACCTCCTTCATCCCGAAAAAATAAAACGTTCTCCACGGGTAAAAAAACTAATCTGTAAGTCACTCCTCCCCTTTCAATGATCACAACCGCCTCCCTTCTAAATAACCCCATCCTTATAGAGTATCTTGTGACAAATGCCAAAATGTATATACTTTACAAATCCGAATTAGTAATTTAAGTGATAAAGGTATAATCAAAAATGTGTGTACATGCTTCATGAGCATTTAGTTATCTTTTTCTGCCATAATACAGGTTTTTGGGGTCAGATCGCATAAATATATACATGTGTCTTCAAACCCGCCACCACCCGATACATTCATGGACCAGTTTCTGTTAGGACAACCACTCCTGACACTCCTCCAAGCAGTGAAGCCATAAAACAAGTGGTGCTCTATTTACAAATCCCAATGGGCTAAGTCAACCCTAACAAGGTTGTGAATTCACAGTCATGCTCTTGTAAGGTGTGTTCAACTGACTAAGCTACCCTACATCATGAAGTGATAAGACTCATAAGTTATTAAATATTTCACCACTAGCAATTAAGTATGTGCCCCATGAATGGTGTGAGGATTCGGGTTACAAGCATTCCATATTTACTTGTGCATACAATTAGATTGTATTTTATTTGTTGAAGTGGGTAAGAAACATTCAGTTACAGCAGCATATAAATCATGATATTGCAAACACTGAGAAGCAAACACATTCAAGTCAAGCACGATTTAAGTAGTACTGTACTACAATGTTTCTTGTAATATATATTCTTTATTTAGCCAAGCAAGAGCCTGGATAAAATAAATACATTTTACTCAAAAGTGAAATAAAGTTAAGCAGCATTTAAAATTGTATCTGAATATATTCACATATTATGACTTTAAATCTGCAACTTTCTGATTTTGTTGGACACATTGCCAGTGCCACACAACCAGAAGCCCATAACATTACAAAGGGTCATCATATTATTTTAATCGGCACTAGAGTCATACATGAATGGAAGAGAGTAAATGGGGGCATCACCTCGTCGTACATGAATTGCAGCGTGAGTGCAGACTTGCCCACGCCACCGCTTCCTACCATGATCACCTTGTGCAGTGCCAGCGAGTTCTGGCCTTTGCCCTTGTTGGCTGCCATGTTGACCTGCACCGCCGATCACGCACACCAGTGTGATGCATTCACAAACTGAAACATAATAAACAAATTAAACATAAAAGTGTCTCCATGCTCAACTTCACCAGGGGATCGTGAAACAGTGGTGTAAATCCCACATTCGCATGGTGGGGTCGGTTATAGCCACAAGACGAGCACCGTTGACTTCCCACCAGTGGTGCAGCCTCACAAGAAGATCCTTATTATGATTGTTACAATTGTTTACCCAGGAAATCCTGAGTCTCAAGGCTGTTTCAGTAGGATTCTGCCAAGTTTTGTTGCTGAGCAGGCAATGTTGCTATGTCTAATCCCAATTGAGTAGTTTGGAGGTCATTTTTCAGCATTGGGATATTTCGCCAATATCAGTTACATTGTAGGAAAGGAAAGCGGAGAACCCAGACGAAAGCCATACAGAACAGAGAAGTGAGAACATACAAATTTCACGCAGAAAGGCGCCAGTGTCAGACACTTAACCCAGGCCCTTCTTGCTGGAAGCCTCAAGTGTTACCAATGTGGCACACCCTGGTGCACGTGTTATTGACCATGGAGAAATGATGGGCTGAGTTGACCCGAACTGGAATATACGGTAAACTCACATGCTCACTGTTATGAGGCCAATGTTTATAAATGACCGATCCAGCCCAGCTGATAAAATAATGATAATCATCAAGATAGGACATCAAAAAGTGAATACGATTGTGCTCAATCAGGAGTAAGGAGTTAGATTGCAATGATTTCATTTAAAAATACACCCAGGTTATTCAAGTATATTGCATGTCAAATACAGTATTTAATTTCCGTAAGAAAAGCCTGCTAATTGAAATAAGGCAATGATTGGCATTTCACCTAAAACATACAAAGTTATGTAGGTTGTTATTGAGAATTCTCTTATGAACATGTTTTTGTCAGTATTTTAGTTTCCATCCACATGCAAAATACACAAAAACGCCGAAATATTCAAATTTAGGACCCTCCTTGAAAATTAGTTGTAATGGGTAACAATTTTCACAATAAATAAGGGACTATGTTTTAAACTATATATTTTTGTTATCATATACGTGAATAGTAGATAATTTTTCACAAATATAGGAATAAACATAAGTTTTAAAAGTGGCAAATATGTTCATATCTTAAAACTAATATTGTCATTTCTGAAAATAACACTCTGCATGTGCATGTTCAAGTCTATATTCACGCTTACGATGTAATAACTTAGAGCTTGTGCACAGAATAAACATACATTGCACAAGGGATGTTTGCACATCTAGCCTCTTTACAATTAACATCCATGAAAGTTGAAGAATATCACAAACATCCTGTCATTAAGCAACTATCTGTTGCATGTACCAGTGTTGTATTTTGCAACATACTAGGAGGCAGTGTTTGCTCACATTGACATCTGTGGGAAAGACAATTTATTGACACACCCTGATGTATGTATGCACCGTCATTTTGCGCCTGGTGCTTTGAGTAACAGCATGATATTTTGAACCGGTCTGACAAGGCATTGGTTATGCCATCTACTCTTCCTGCTGTGCAATGTAAAAAATGTGGCCCGTCAAATAAGACCCTGAATAATTTCAAAATTTATCACACACGGCTTACGCAACCACACCACTCGCTGCCACTGGCCAATAAATATTCTTAAACCAGGTGAGCATCAATTTACACTCATTACTTGAGCAACTTGATTCACAGACGAACATGAGCTATTGTGTACAATTAAGTTATGAATAATTTGAAATAGAGAATTATAGAACCATGCCAATGGCACACAATAACCTATTCTTCCGAATGATGATGATATTTAATGTGCCAAGGTCCCAAAAAAAGACAATACATGAAAGTGATGTTGTGCAGTCAGTAAACTGTATCGGCCTTTTTTTACGACAGGAAAATAATGTTACAGTACGGTAGTATGAGATGAGAAATTACCACGCCATTATTAAAGGCTCAGTGAACCTCGAGAACTGACCAAATTTATATAACTCTACTACAAAAGAAACACCAAGTTTAGGTATTTTACTTGTTTTTTTACTTATGCGGGTTGAGTATCCAGGATGAGAACGACATACAAGTCTAAATATTTTCCATGTTTGCTTCCCAGGAGGCGGAAAAAGGTTCGGCTACGATTTTGGCGCTGTTTACATTCTCATAAACATGGTAAATGTTTCTTTTACAAAGGTTTTTTTACAGTGACAAAGTAATTTTTTAAGTGGTTAGTAGCATACTGCAGTTTTTACTCCCATGTCTTCCTTGAAAAAGAACTACAGTGCCAAAATGATTCTACTTACTATGAAGGAACAATTTCTTAAAACGCTGTAACCATTTGACCATCAGACAAGACTTGTGTCCTGCTTCAGGAAAATGGGAAAAAATATAGCAACACTGAAGTGAAAATACTTATAGTACAAGCCTTGTGGCAATGGGATCATCCAATTTCCATCATGAAATGGAAGCCACCCCAGAACCACACAAGGTACTGCAGAAAAATGCAGTCTCCAAGTTGTTTTCTAAGGATTTAATTCACCTCACAATTATATTCCGTACGTGTTAAAAAGGCTGCACACCTGTGACACTGCTTTGGAGGTGTGGTTAGTGAGCATGCAAACAGCACCATGTGTGCGAGATACTCAACCAGCTGGGCTGCATTATGGTCAGTGGATGACGGTACACAAAGTTTGGGTCTCAGGGATGTTTCCCAGTTAAATTAAGGCTACTTTATTGGTAGATAATTTTTTTTATTTTAATGGACATCATTATTTGCATTCATATGCATACACTGTACTACACATGCAAAGTACGAAACTGCAGTGTTCATAAAAATTGACATGAAATACAGTGGTGTAAACAGAAACAATGATGGGCCATTGTGTCTTAGATTCATACTGTATTATAATTCTCAAGTTTAACGTAGAGCCCATTGATGAACATGTTAAATAAAAAAAACCAACAATTTCACGACACTCGCGATTCTTTGTTCAAAGATCACAGACAGATCTGTGTTTTCCTACTTTGTGTGCATGAACATAAAGTAGCACAAATAACGTAAATCGGTCCGAAGGTCCTCTGGGCCAATGTGATAATTGCTTATACTGTATACTGCACCGTACCTCCTATATTAATCCTGTGGATCACGTCTGGGGGCAGGAAGATCCAGAAACGCTGAGGCAGAAGAAATCACGAGGTCCGAAGACCCAAAGGCTACAAGGGACCCTATAAATTCAGGGCATGAGCCTCCAAGGCTCTAAACCCCCAAGACAATACAACCAATACACCAGGAGGGGCATACGACTTGGGCAGAGACTTAAAAACCAAAGGCGCAAGATCCAGACTCAAATATCTCAAGAAGCTAGATGCCCAAAAACGACTATGCCATTACAATCCCATATTTGATTGCTAAGCTTAGGGTAATTAAGCTTATGCAGCAGAAACTGGTCATCACAGATATTTCAGCAAAAAGTGCAATGCACCTCCGATTAGCAGAGTTAGCTACGCCCGGTGCAAAATAAGTTCAAGATACAGTGCATACAATACAGTACACGATTGAGCAATCAATATTGTAGAGTAGTTACAATTCATTAGAGTATAGTGCACTGTAGTACTGTAAGTGTGTACGAGTATGGAGTCAGTATAGAGATTTACAGTCAGTATATATGGATGCAATTACCAGCGAAACGTCGCACATTGTAAATGTTGTGGTTTCACGCTTCAACACACCGGTGGGCTAAAGCAGTGAACTATTTGTCTTTTGTCAACGTGACACTTTTTTACTGATTGGCCGTGTCGGGTGGTGGAGGGTTACGACACATCTATAAATAACGCGATCTAAACCCAAAAACGTTATGAGTATATACGACTCGGTGTGGAGCTCATTACAATGCAGGTATTGCAGTACAGGTGAGCACATATACTCCTAGAGGAGCGATAGCCATTGCACATTACATAACAATAAGCACAGCATTCATAATGTACGAGTTAAGGGTACGGTCACGGCCAGTAAAACCAAGTCTGCACAGTGTTATCACTTAACACGGTACCAGAATACCCTTTATAAACTGTGCTCCAAATAGCCAAGCAATCGTCACAACAACGCAGGCATTCCAGTACAATCACTGACCATTACAACGTGCAGTCAATGCAGTCCACGGACGAGTTACACAGTACGTACTGTAGCGTGTAGGTACGCACGCGGGCAGCGACGCCTCTCCCACGCTTCCCTCCTAGCAGTACGAATAGCAGCAGCAGTACTTACGGCTAAGGGTACGAATCGAGAAGAAGGCGCTGCGGGTACGAAAGGCCCGCGAAGTGCGAGCGCGACGGGCAAGGCCTCTTGGTTGCGGGCGCCAACGACAAGGGGCGGGGCTTGTGGGTACGAGGGGGCGGAGCCTGTGAGGGGGCGGAGCCTGTGAGTGTGAGGAAGGATGCGAGGGGGCGGAGCCTGTGAGGGGGGCGGAGCCTGTGAGGGTGAGGAAGGATGCGAGGGGGCGGAGCCTGTGAGGGGGGCGGAGCATGTGAGTGTGAGGAAGGATGCGAGGGGGCGGAGCCTGTGAGGGGGCGGAGCCTGTGAGTGTGAGGAAGGATGCGAGGGGGCGGAGCCTGTGAGGGGGCGGAGCCTGTGAGTGTGAGGAGGGATGCGAGGGGGCGGAGCTTGTGGGGGTTATGGGGAGGAGCAGAGCGTCTGGGTGTGAGGGGGAGGAGCGAAATGGAGGGGCGGGGCCTGTAGGTACATGGGGGGGGGGCGAATGTGGGGGAGGGGCTGACCTTGTGGGTGTGAGAGGGCGAATGTGGGGGGGGGGGGAGCTTGTGGGTGTGAGGGGGAGGGGCGAATGTCGGGGGGTTGGAGCCAGTGTGTGCGAGGGTTAAATGGGCGTGGAGTGATTGGATGGGAGGGCTGCATTATGCAGGATTAGCAGCATCAAAGGGAGGGAGTAAGGTCCTCCCTTTGATGCTGCTAATCCTGCATAATGCATGGGCATAATGACTTTAAACCCCTCGCCAAACCTCCTACACATTTCACAAGTAGTGCTAATCTCATATCTGCATTTCCCATAAATATGCTAAATTCATCTTGATATGCAAATTGTTTTGTCAAGACGCTCTTCGCCCCTCCATGCCAGCATAAATAGTCGCTCCAAGCCTGGAGCGTGCCATTCAGACTCTGTCTACTTGACGGACCTGTTCTCCACCTGAGGACGGCTGCTTGCGTTGTGGCCGAAACGTCGTGAGAATTATTTTATTATGTTTTATTTTTATTATTTTATTACTTCCCTTCTACGTGATTTTACCGAAAGAACCAAGAAGATTATGTATATTCTTATTTTTTTTTATTATACGTGGCTTTAACCGAAAGACCCAAATAATATGCTGTGCGAATGGTGATGGGACAGTTTGTGGACAGAGTGGAAGAGTTTCCCGCACGTGGGCACGGCTCCCCGAGGCTTGCCGGAACGTAAGGGACCGTGATGATTTACAGGCAAGCTGAGTTGAGCGTGGACAATTAGAGCCGTAAACGTGGACAATTAGAGCCGTAAAAAAGATTATTTAAAAATATATTTAAATTGTTTTATGATGGAATATAGTATTGTCATCAGTATGACATACCTATACCAAGTTTGCAGTCGATACGACATTGGGAAGACGGTTGAAATTGAGTTACAAGATTTGAGGATATAACAGAGTGAGTTAAATAAAAAAAAGCGTGTAAAATGATTTTAAATATATATTTTTAAATATGAATGATACAATACAGTCTTGTCATCAGTATGACATAAGTATACCAAGTTTGCAGTCGATAGCACATTGGGAAGTGGATACAAATTGAGTTAGAAGATTTTTTGAGGATACAACAGACAGAATGAGTTAAATAAAAGCGTGTAATAAAAAGGAGCCAATGGCTGTAATGAGACGATGTCACAACGCGAGGTTGAACTGTGCGAATGTAGCAGGTCACGGCCTACATGCTCCCGGCTTTTGGCAGTCTCAAAGGGGCCGTCCATAAATGACGTCACGCACCTAGGGGGGGGGGAGGGGGGGAGGGCATTTGTGACGATGTGTGACGAGGGGGGAGGGGGGGCTTGAGAAATGTGACGTCACATCAAAATGCGCTACTTTAAATAAATATTCATGAAATATAATTGTTATAACAACACAAATTTTTATTAATTTTCATTATTAACTATTTGATTATTTTAATTTACTAAGGTCACCTTTTATTTATTCCATAAAGGAGCATTTTGCTTCTCCATGGGAGAATGGAGAGCATACATTTTGTAAATTTTTGAATGATTGTTATTAAACATTTTGATACTAATGATTCTACCAGGGCTTTTCATTCTGTGAAATGAATATGTGATTGTTATAATTGTACTCTCCATTTTGCTTCGTTCTACTACAAAGTTTCACAGAGGCGTTGTTTCTCTGTGTGCCTATGTGTGTGTCTCTGTGTTGTCTCTCTCTGCCTGTGTCTGTGTGTCTGTGTTTTGTCTCTCTCTAATTTAGCACTCTTTGGAAGAACGTAATCAACCAGGTAAGGTGTTAACTGTTATGTTAGCCGACTCTCTGTGTTGTGTTGCATTATATTTCTTAGTTTACTAGGGTTGTTTTTCTCATTCATTCGTACCTGATGATGATTGCTTCTGTTGCAATCGAAACGTCATATTCTATTATTTAATTTATTTTCTTTCTACGTGACTTTACGAAAGAACCAAAGAATCTGAACACTAATATTATATTTCAATAGAATATTCTGAACATCTACAGTTTTAGTTAGACGTTGAATATTTTCAAGTGAATTTTATGCTGAATTTACAACGCCTCCTTTTTAATACATGTTTTCTCCTACAACAGTGCATCGCCACATTAAATACGCACTGCAATGACAATAGTTTTAGTTTAAAGTGATTTGAAGCATGTTTTATTTTCAAAATGGAAATATGGTTTGGGGGGGGGGGGTCAAAAATCGGCCCAAATCGCGTGACGTCACTTATGGACGGCCTCAAAGGGGTGGTGTAGTGTGGACCTGAGGGTCATGGGGACAGCATTTGAGTGCTGTGTTGTTTCGTATTGTTTATAATTGCCTACCGTTGGTAAATAAGACAGTCATATCACTTTCACGGGAAGGCCAATAACACGACGAGGTTTTTCCTAATTAGAACACCATCTTTTTAGAAGTCACAACAGCCCCACCGAGTGGAAACGTCACGAGCCGCCACTGCTGGGCACGTGTGCTTATTACCAGCTCCGGTTTGACAGCAGAGGTCTCACTCCAAATCAGTCGCGCGGCATAATCTTTTCATTTGCTGCGTAATGCTGTGTGGAAGCTACATGTATTTATACTGGAGGAATCCGATGAGCTGTAAGTTATTTTTCACAGATTTCCAATAGGGGCGGGTAAGATCGTTACAACAACAAACAATACAAAAACACGATAGGAGTGCAAAGTACAAGAAAGGTAAACAAATCACCCAAACAAATACAAATAAAACTAAACCATCCCCATCCAACCAGACAAAGCCCACTGAGGTATTAACTTATTTTTCAGAAGTGACCTAGCCACAAATGAAAGATCAACAAAGTGTCCCACATGAAACTTCGAGTCTTCTCGGCCACAGTCATGCCCTCCCTTCTCTAAGCTTGTGAAACGTGGACAGACCCCTCTAATGAAACATCTGCGCCGGTTAGCAACATTCAGGCTGTCCTGGCTGGATTGTGTGAGGAGCTCACAAATCCTTGAAAGATCTGGACACATTCTCATCAGTGAGCTCCTCCGGCAGGCAATGCTGCGTTTGCTGGGTCATGTCGCCTGTAGGCTCAGCCTTCGCATGCCACTCAGCTCCACATCCTCCCATACCGCATCAGCTCCATCTATTCTCCAGCCCGTGTTCGTGCCCGTTTAGCCAGACAGAAGTTGCGGGCTGGAGAATAGATGGAGCTGATGCGGTATGGAAGGATGTGGAGCTGAGTGGACTTACCAACGACTGCTACCACCGGTGTCAAGATCGGTATCTGTGGAGGAGGCTCGTGAAGGACGCTGCTGCTACTGGGCAGTTGGAGGCAGTCGCCCTCCAGCAACAATTGAGGGCAGAGGAGGAGCGACGCTCACAACAACGAGCGGAGCTTCCGTGCGTCTAAAATGCAGTAAGTTTGCACAGTAAGGGTGGTGCATCTGCCGGTCATCTCAGTCAGCCAACCCATGGCACCTGCTGGGTCTGTCCCGAGACCTCTTGTCGGCGAGACTTCGACACTTCACATGGCCTCAAAGTGCACCTAGCCTGGCACAGGCGCCGTGGTAACGTCACTGTCACTTCGTGGTGAATGGTGACTGTTGGAATTGGTGAGGGATGTGAGCTGTGTGGGTAGTCAGATGTGGGGGAACGGTGGCGCAGTGTTTAGTGCGCTGCGCTACCAACGATGATGATCTGAACCGGTCCTGGGCCTCCCCTAGGCCGACTCAGCCTCAATTGAGTACCTAGTGGTATGGCGTGTAAACATCGCCACTGGGGAGACAAAGGCGGCCACGTGTAGTGTTGGCCGACCAACCCCCTCGTGTGTCGCGCCAGGCCTTCGTAGGTGCTCGCTAACAGCACTTGCTCTCGCAGTCTGTTGAAGGCTATACGGGAGATCTTTATCTTTGAGATGTAAGTTGATTGAATTGAGTACCATTGGCGTTTGTTTTAGCAAGTACTCATACAGTACTTGCTAAAATAACATTATGAGCTTTAGCCATGAGACGTCGAAATAAAAACATAAATATATTGAACACTCAATGGTGTTAATGCAAACGTCGATATACACTAAACATGGGAAAGAAAACATTTGTTTCATAATTTGCAACATGAAAGAGCAATGTAATGTTGAAAAGCAATACATAATTTGATATAAAAGAATGCAATGACACAAGGGTGTTGTTAAAGGATCAACACTCAAACATGGAATTATAATATCACATCAAAATATACATACAAAGGCACAAGGCTGTGCATCCACTTTCTAGAATATTAACTTTAAACCTATCGAGAGCACACAACAACCAGCGCCGTTCGCCACAAAGCTCGGTGTACTTTGAGGCCACGTGAAGCGTCGAATGCTCTCTGGCAGGTCACGAAACATACCCAGGTGCCATGGATTGACTGACTGAGATGACTGGCAGATGTACCAGCTGTGCTTCCCACTGGTGTGTTTTATCCGCCCGGCGCTCCGCTCGTTGTTGTGAGCGTGTGTCCTCTGCCCTGCATTGTTGCTGGAGGGCGACTGCCTCCAACTCCCCAGTAGCGTCTTTCACAAACCTCAAAAGAGGCCGATCTTAACACCACTTG